CAGCCCATCCGTGTTGGGCTGGACCCAAATGGCTCGAGCCCGGGCTTTTCAACCCACGGCTCAGCCCAGTAGGCGACAGAGGCCCGCTTCCCGACTTCCCACCTAATTTTTCTCTATCTTTCCTCTTCTTCTTGCATATTACAAGGTCTCCGGGATGAGCAAACGGGCTCTCGTCGTCTGGCCCGAGCCTCGATTCCTTCTGGACAGGGAATCTTGTATGGTGGGGCCCACGGAGAGGGGTAGGTTCGGAATTCGGATCTTTTACTTGTTGTTTGTGGCGTTTGGTTTGATGACCTGTGGAGAGTGTACCTACACCTGACCCAGAGAAAGACAAGGAGCTTCTGGCCTCTCGAAAGTCCATTTCTTGAAATGCTATGCTTAAGATGTCGAAAAAGAGATCGTGGACTTTTTTGGCCTCGGATCTCACCTATTTGCATTAGAGATCAGAGTTTGTTGGATAAATAAAGTGAAGGTTTGAAGTTCAGTGGCTAAAAAAATGTTTCTTCAAATTACGAAAGACAAAAGTTTCTTATGAATCTATTGTTGGATTAAGGGAGAGGGGTACTTTCACAAGATAAGACACTCATCATGACTGTACATAGTGATTAAGGGTGTGATTGGATATGGATTTAATTTAGTTTTTGATTGGTTTTTTGTTAACCATAGTTAATTTTAAAAAAATAGTATGATTAGTTGTTAACGCAATTTTGAGTTTATATTAAAATAATATTTGAAATAAAATAATAAAAATTGATTTGATGTTAAAGTATGAGAGAGATGATGTGAAGTGATTGTGAATTAAAATTATGAGTGGATGAATAGTGAATGAAAGTCTATGTGATGTGTAAGAATAACTGATTGATATTTATTTAATTATATTGATAATATTGATGATAGTCAAGTCAAGTTAAAAAAAGTGATTGACTTTAAAATGATTGGCTTTTTTTCAATCAAATCCATATCCAATCACACCCTAATAAACTCAAATTTGAATCAAATAAGAAAACAATGAGAAGATATTTAGAACAAAGTATCATGTACCTCAAATGAGAACCCATAATACTGCATGCTACACTGCAGCATGAACTGCACGTCAGATACAAGATCCATAATTCCATTGTATTCTGATTTATCGAGACGGAGGTGGATTTTTCTTAAATCAAAAAAGTTATCCCCGGCCCCACTCGAATGCTCAATTCTTTTCCACAGTTCAGTTAGCATTGGTATTATCCGATGGCCTTCGCTGTCTATTCTTCTCTGGAGCTTGTTTATAATATTCTTGCACTGCAACACAATAAGGGCGTGTTTGTATATAAAATAACACAATTCATACTCAAAATCTAACTCAACTTTAACTCGACCCCACTATCTTCAATATTAGCAATATAATGAAATAATATTAGTCATCATTCTTACACATCACATCAACTTTAATTCACTATTCATCCACTCACATAGTTTTAACTAACCGTCACTTCACATCATTTTTCTCCTATTTTTACATTAAATCAATTTTAATTATTTTATTTTAAATTTTATATAAACTCAAAATCAACCAACCATACCACATTTTTCAAATTAATTATGGTCAACGTAAAAAAATTCAAACAAAACCGAATAATCATATATCCAAGCATCCCCTAAGTGTAACATAATGCATACCTTTCTCTGAATGGCCTCAAGCATTCTACTTCCACTACTTTTGGGCCCTTTCACGGCTTTACTGTCTTCTCTAACATGTCCAACAGCAATATCTGAAGGAGGTCCATAGCTGACTCTCACAGATTTGCTACAACCTTGCACATTAGCTACAGGTTCACTAGAACCCTGCACATTAGCAGTGCTTTTCCTCGAGGGCAAAGTGCGTTTGTTCTTGAAAGATGAATCATTTCTTTCGGTGGTATCTCCAAGAACTTTATGTGCACGATCATCTCTTGCTTTTGACTTGTACTTGTGTTCTACATGGAATGGAAACCGAGAGGGATGAGATAATCTCTCAATCTGCCTGTTTTCTAACTTTTCTGTATTTAGCAGTGGTCTCTGCCGAATACTCCGTTTTCGTTTTATCATTGGCTGCAAGACTTGTTCGTCTGCACCTTCATCCCGCTCTTGAGCCGAGCTACCAGATTGTTGTTGGTCCATAGGAGAATCTCCAGAAAAAACAATTTCCCCTTCTTCTAATTCATCCCCCTGCAAAATTATTAAATAATAACCATGTGAGACAAACAATCGATTGTCAAAAGTATCATACTAAAACAAAATAATGACAAACGCTACCCATACAGAAAGAACCAATTAGCTGGTCTGGCAAATTCTACAACCAAACCACGCAGCTTTTCAAAAAATCTCAAATGGCTCCACTTATTCTTTCGGTAATATAGAAAGACTGAGGGATGTGAACCTATATATAAGAGCGCATCTGGGGTTTACAGGTAATATTTTCTTTTTAAATACAAGAAGCGATGTAACCACTAACCAGGATTCAAAGTGTAGGACGAAGTAACCTCAAAGGTGTGTTTTCTTTTCAATTTTGAAAATTAACTGGCTTTTTAGTAATTAACTAAAGTTCAAGGTTATCTTTTGTAATGATCTGCAGAAAAATATAAATAAATAAATAAATCATAAGATTTAGCTGACATACCAATCTCTTCGAACGAGAGGTGGGCCTACTATCCAAAGCCGAAAGAGATCCAAACTTCCGAGAAGCCGAAGGTGAAACCATCAGCTTCGACTTCCGACCATGGGAAGAAGACCCAGACGAGCCTGCCTCCGCAAGCTCATTATTATTATTATTATTATTATTATTATTATTAGGATTGTTCACTCCTCTTAGGTACTCATACCCATCACCACACACTGGAACATCTTCCTCTGATAGAGCTTTATCAGCTTTTTGCTCAGGTGCCTCTGCAGATTCATCATCATCCTCAAACTCCCGCACTTCTTCTTCTTCCCCTTCTTCTACTTCTTCTTCTACTTCTCCTTCTTCTTCTTCTTCTTCTTCTTCCTCCTCCTCCTCCTCTTCTTCTTCTTGAACCGAACTAGCTTCCGAAAATTCTCCATCTTCATCGTCCAGCTCAGCATAAACCGGAACCTTCCCCCTGGGCCGACATCTTCCCCTCCTCCCGGGAGCCACCTCAGCCGAATCCATAATAGTATTCCCCGCATACAAAGCATTCCTCGACGGCTTCTTTGACAAATTAGCAATAGTCAAGTTCACTTCTTTTGAGCTTGCCCGAATCCATTCGGGCACCTCGTCGTATCTCGTCATGTCCTCAGCCCAGTCGAGCTCTTCTTCATCCATCTGGTCAAAGAGCTCAACTTCTACCTCGCTTCTAGCTATCATTCGGTTCAGCTCATGAAGCGAAGGCACGTCATGGACCGTCTCTTGGTACCTCTCCTCATCGTGCAAGAGGGTCTCGAGCGTCATTCGCCGCTCCTCGTGCGTGGTCCTCTGATCAAACCGACCCGCGTTTATCACCTCATCGGCCATATCGATCTTGTACTGCTGAATATTTTTCCTGATCAGGCTCTCGATCGAGCCCACATACCGATCCTTTCCGGCGAGTTCATCGTCCGAGTCAACCGGGCCGCCCCCACTCCTGAACTCATCCTCCTTCTGGTGGCTCGATATCTTATCAACCACAGACTCCATGTAAATGACCTTGACCTCTCGAGTCTGCCCGATCCGGTGGGCCCGGGCAACGGCTTGCTCCTCATTTTTAGGGTTCGGATCAGGGTCGTAAATGATGACTGTATCGGCCGATTGAAGATTGAGTCCCCGCCCGGCTGCCCGGATGCTGAGCAGGAATATGAAGCAGTCAGTGTCCGGACGGTTAAATTCGACAATTGCGCTTTCACGATCTTCCAAACTCGTCATACCGTCTATTCTTCGGAAAACGAGTCTACGCCACTGGAGATATTCTTCCATTATGTCTAGGAGTTTGGTCATGGTACTGAAGAGAAGTACTCTATGCCCGGTTTTATGGAGCTTGATCAGAACCCGATCGAGAACCCACAGCTTCCCACACGATCTCACGAGGAAATCCTTCGATAAGTCGCTAAAGTACGGATAGTTGAGCAAAGGATGATTGCATGCTTTTCTTAGCTCAATGCATCTGTTGTTCAAAGGTTTGTAAGCTTTAGCTTGGTAAATAGGGTTTCGTTGAACCTTGCGCTCTTCTTCTTCAGGATCGACTCGGATAGTGCCGGTGGATTTAATCCAGTCATAGATGGCGCTCTGTATTGCTGACATTCTGCATTTCAGAACAACCGATACCTGCAATTGAAAAAAATTTAATCAGAAAATAGTTCAGGGCACAAGATAATTTGTTAGTTATATACAAAGACACACACCTTGGGAGGAAGTGAACCTTCCACATCTTCAACACGACGCCTTAGCATAAAAGGCTCTAATATTTGGTGAAGTCTGTGAATAATGATGACTTTTTTCTCTGTCTCGAGCCAATCATCCTCAGCATTGTGCGAAAACCCTTCTTTTTGAAATGGTTGAGAGAACCAATCGTGAAATGCTTTTCTGTTATCAAAAACTTCGGGTAGAAGTAGGTTCAAAAGAGACCACAGTTCTTTCAGATCGTTCTGCACAAA